CCCCTCCCTCAAAAACCCAGACTTCTAATCAAATAAAAAACCGTTAAATTTATTCTTGCTTGCGTTCTACCAGTGACACAGAAATCTCAGCAAGGCACGACAAGAGCTCCTTCCTCTGGCAACGCAGGTCAGCAAAACATCCAGGCCAATGGGGGATCCTCAGGGGGGACGTCACAGACTGGGGGATCCTCAGGGGGGACGTCACAGACTGGGGGTTCCTTAGGTATGGGTCCAATGGCAATGCTCAATTTTGGCAACAACGGGAATAACTTTGATCCGAGTCACAGTGGCCCTTCACCGAATCAAGGCAGCGGAGGGCCGGCCAATCCCAACAATGCGAATCCCTTTGATCCTAGCCGCATGGGTCCTCCTCCGAATCAAGGAGGTGGGGGTCCTGCCAACCCCAACAACGTGGACCCATCCAACCCTCTACACCATTTGACCGCATCTACTAAAAGGCCGACCCCTGCACCCACCATTACCACTACAACCACGACCATCACAACCACTGTGTCGTCCACGCCGCCGTTTCCCTTCACTTTTCCGCCAATACTCCCCTTCAGCAGCAGTTTTCCACCAATAGCCCCAAGCCTTAGACCGTCGGCCGGTGCATCCTCCACACGAGCCCCAGTTACTTCACACCCCCCTACGATGGCCACAAGTGGCCCAACGTCATATCCACTACCACCAGCAGCAGCATCGACTCTAAAAGTCACGTCAGCCCCAGGCTCATTTGCTTCGTTACCTAACTCTGGGTTGACTGCCCAGACTCCACCTTTCGGATTTGCCTCATCGTCTACGAACAGCCCTTCATCCCGACAAACGGCACCGGTGACGACGGTCACCCCAATCACTACCACTACCATCACCACCTCCACCAGTAGCGTCCCAAGCACAACCAGTGTCAAGGTATCCACCGCAAAAATTGCTAATTCAGTAGCCTCTTTAGCGTCAACAACCCTAGGCGCCCTTTTGATTTCTAGCACTTCTTCTACAACTGGTGGTGTGCCATTCCTATGTCCGGGGCTCTTTAACTGTGCCCTCACTTGTACAGCAGGGTATATCAACGACAACCAGGGTTGCCCACTATGCCTCTGCGCTCAAGTACCAACTAATATTCCTTGAATTTTTTTTCGAACTTTTTAAAATCGATTGCCAAAGATTAAACGTTCTAAAGTTTTTCGTTCTCCTAGTTCTTTTGAAGTTAAAATAAAACTCAGTGTTTAAATGAATTTGGCAAAATTAAAGTTTGAAGAAACAATGTGTTCAAAGAATTTTTTTTGCTGACATCAGATAACTCCCTGTTAATGACCCTGCGGTAATTGAGAGTCTATTGTGATACACCTCAACAATGTTCTGTTTGAGAAACTGTCAAAGCCGCACACTTTCGAAAAAAAAAGATTGGCTGTGACAGGAAGGATCGAAGCAGCCTGCCTCCAAAATGGTTTAATAATACAGCACATGCACGGTCAATACACTTTTGCCTCGAATGGCTGGTCTACTCGCCGAGGTGAAAAGAGAAATTTTAGAGAATTTTAGAGAAAAAAATGTTCTGTCGCTGTCAAGTTTCGCACCCGCGACCTTTTGAATGAGAGGCGAGCACCACAACCTCCAGACCACGAGAGCCCCCCTTCTGACAGCGACGGAAAATTTTCTTGTTCTCTAAAATGTTCTCCTTTCACACCCTTTCCTGCTCTGTAACAATGTTCTGTCGTCTGCTTCGGTCTTCACTTTCTGCCCTACCCCTTTGCCCCCCTCCTCTGGGCTCCTGACTCTTTCTGCAGCCTTTCTACCGCTACTCCTTGACTCCTTACTGCTGTCGTAGGAATAATCTTTGTAAATTAATATGAAGAGGTCCCAACATTCGTTTCCTGATTAAATCAGACCTATTGTTATCTAGTTTCCTTGCATTTTGGAGTTTAAAAAAGCCTGTGCATTATTTGTTTAATCGCCAACACTGTAGACTCTATGTTCCTAGCCTGACATTTATTGTATAGGCCTATTTATGAATGTTGAATACTTGGAAAGTATTCTAAGCAGGTTGGGAAGATACATACATTGGTACATATAATATGTCAGTCATACAACCAAACACACTCTGTAACGATTCATATTCTGACGCAGAAAAAATCCCTGTTTCGAGAACTTTTCAGACACCACCAGTAACATCCCAGACAAAGAAAATCTGTATGTCATGGGAGTTATTTTTTGCAGTCATCTATCTATTTATCTATCTATCCATCCATCCATCCATCCATCCAACCATCCATCCATCCATCCACCCACCCATCCATCCATCCATCCACCCACCCATCCATCCAT